GCACGCATGCCAGGCGAGCTCGCTACCGCTTGAGCCACATCCCCAGCCCATGACATGTACTGTTGATTGATTTTCTTTTAGAGTAAAGTAGTATTGTCTTAATGTATTCTTGTATCTATAAATATTTATTTAATTTTAAAGGTCAAACAGGATTTATGCATCATCCATCATTTTTCACTTCTGAACCACCAAGCATCTACCAGTGGGTGAGCTCTTGTCTGAAGGGCGAGGGAATGCCCCCCTACCCGTACCTTCCTGGAATCTGTGAACGAAGCAGACTTGTTGTCTTGGTATGTATGTAGAGTGCTGCCTGTCTTGTTGGATTGTTTTTTTTTTGTTTTAAATTAAAGTAAAAAATAACATAGTAAAATGAACTTATTCTTCCTGTGTACAGTTTTTGAATTTTAGCATATCATTACCATTGTTATCAGGGTAGAAAACATTTGCACCAGTTCCCCAAAAGTTCCCTCACAGTATTTTTCTCTCTGGAGATGGCATTTTGCTATGTTGGCCATGCTAGCCTTGGACTGGAGATTCCTCTGCATCAGCCTCCTGAGCAGCTGAGATCACAGGCACACACCACCTCACTCCGCTTTCCTCATGATTTATGATCATTCAAGTCATCACCATTGTCATCAGTTATTGCATTGTCACCATTGTCGAACTCTCTTGCTGATTTGCAGCCTGTCACATTGCTGTACCTCGGTTTTTTCTTGAGGATAGTTGGGTTGGTTCCAGTTGTTAGCAATTGTAAGTATAGCTGCTGTGAGCTATCATGTAGAGCCTTTTGGGTGAGTGTAAGTTTTCATTTCTTTAGGGTAGGTCCCTAGGAGTGGGACTGATGGGTCATAGAGTAAGTATATACTTGTGTTTTGTTTTTTTTTTAAGAAACTGTCAACTGTTTTCCAGAGTGGCTATTCACGTCAAATCCCACCAGCAGCATTTATGAGACTATTTCTTTGACTCTTGTCGATATTTGGTATTGTCCCTGTTTTTAGTTTTTGTCATTCTAATAGCTGTGTAGTGTTGTCTCTCTTTCTCTCTCTCTTTCTCCTTTTTTTTTTCCTTCCTTTAATGGATGTCATGATATTTTGAATTTTAGATGTGAGATTTTTATTTTTTGCAGATACTTTCTCACTTGTCTCATCATTCTCTTAATGCTTTTTCCCCACAAAAAAATGTTAGAGCCATTTTACCAGGTTTTTTTTTTTTTGCATGGGGTTGGGGAGATACTGCTTTTGGTATTATATTTAAGAATTTTAAAATTTGAGTTCAGGCCTTGAAGATGTATTTTCTTATGGAGTTTTTTGAGGTTCATATTTTACATTTAGATCTCTAATTTCTTGTGTTAATTTTATATAAGGTGTGAAGTTTGGGTCAAGGTTTTCATTATCTTTTTGGATATCCAGTTCTTGGACACCATTTGTTGAATGACACCATTTTTGTACTTTCATCAAAAATTAGTTGGTTTCGTCCTGTACTTCTTTTTCCAGGTCATTGATCTCTGACTGTCCATACTGCCTTGATTATTGTAGTTTTGTAGTCAGCCTTGAAATTGGTTAGTTACTACTCCTATTATCTTTTTAAAAAATTATCTTTACCATTTCAGGGTTTTTTTTTTTTTTTTTAAAAAGAGTGAGAGAGGGAGAGAGAGAGAGAATTTTTTTAATATTTATTTTTTATTTATCAGCGGACACAACATCTTTGTTTGTGTCTATACTACCCAACCAGAGCCTCACGCATGCCAGACGGGCGTGCTACCTCTTGAGCCACATCCCCAGCCTCTCAGGTTTTTTTTTAAAACTTTTGTATATTATTCTTATAATCACTTTATAGTTACAAAAAATTCTGTGAACACTTTTTTTAAGGAAATACATCTTTGTTTATTTTTAGAGTTTAGTTTATTTTGAATAGTTAATAAACCTCAAATCTTCATTTAGAACTGGAAGGCATTGATGCAAGTGAGTCCTTTGCATGTGTCTTTCTGTTCCTGAAGCTGCAGCAGCTTGCTGAGGGAGGGCCCAGGTGGACCTCTGTTGGGGGGTCATCTGAGCTTAAAGAGAACCATGTGCTTTTGTTCCCTCTCCCAAGTTAGCAGACTGCAAATGTCCTGGCACCCTACCCTTTTCTTTTACGTTCTTGAAAAGGGCTTCCCAAGCCCACATGTAGGCTGTGTTTTTTTTTTTTTTTAATAGCATTGGCTAAATATGCATTTCATTTTAGCCATTTTTAAGTGTACAGTTTAGTGACATTAAATATGTTCACATTGTTATGTAATCAACAGCACCCATACCCAGAACTTTTTTGTCCTGCCTAATGTAAATTAGGTAACTGTCATACAATAGCTTCCCCTTTCTCCCTTCTCAGTCCTTGGTGACCTCCTTTCTGTTTTTGTGAATTTTTCTGTTTGTCCTTTTGTTTCTGGCTTATTTCACTTAGCATATTGTTTTTTAGGTTCATCTGTGTTCTAGCATGTATATAAATTACATTCCTCTTTAGGCCGAGTGGTATTCTGTTGCATAGAGGTACCACAGTTCACGTTTTCTTCTGCAGATAGCCACTTGGGTAGTGTAGACACTTGGGTAGTGTCTGCCTTTTGGCTATTTGGCTAATGTTGCACTGAGCCAGGGATATACAAGTGTCTGTTCAAGTCTGTGCCTTCAGTTTTCTGGATGTACCCCTGGGAGTGGAGCTGCTGGGTCAGGAGAGTAGAATGTTTGACTTCTTCACAGTGGCTGTGTGTGTGTGTGTGTGTGTGTGTATGTGTATATGTATATATATTTTAGTTGTAGATGGACACAATATCTTTATTTATTTTTATGTGGTGCTGAGGATCGAACCCGGTGCCTCATACTTGCAAGGCAGGTGCTGTACCACTGAGGTACACCCTAGCCCACAGGGGCTGCACTTTTTATATTTTCACCAGTAATGCAGGAGGGAGGGGTCTAATTTACCACATGCTTGCCAATCCATAATTTCCACCTGTTTTTTAAAATTGCAGCCATCCTCCTAGGTGTGACATGGTGTCCCATTGTAGTTCCCTAGTGACTGGCGATATTGAGCATATTTTCATGTGCTTATTGCTAATTTATAGATCTTCTTTGAAGAAGTGTCTGTTTAAGTCCTTGACGACCATTTCTTTTTTTAGTTGGATCTGGACACAATATCCTTATTTATTTATTTTTTATGTAGTGCTGAGGATGGAATCCAATGCCTCACACTTGCAAGGCAAGCACTCTGCCACTGAGCTACAGCCCCAGCCTTCCTTTGACCACTTCTGAGTTGTGTTTTTGTTGTGTGGAGTTCTTACACGCTGGATATGATCCCGGTCCCATGCTCGATCTGCAGGTGTGCTGTCGTCCTGGCAGTTGTCCTTTCCCGGTGTTCTCGGTGCTCAGCTTGCCTCTCTGGGCTTCCATCTTCACATTGTTTGTACTCCTGGCATTACTACCTAACTTGCCAGCTCACAGACCCATGACATTTTAAATAAGAATATTAAAAAATATTTCGACAGTTTTTATTGATGGGCTTTGACTTTGTCATGAGTTTATTTGCTTTAGTGTTTTTGATTCGATGTTTGGGTGAGGAGATATTTGCAATAACTTGTACCAGACCCTTCCTTCCAGCTTGTGGCTCTTGGTTATTGAGTCTCACCGTGGAGATGGTGGAGTTTGTTTACCATCTATCCAGATGAGGGAAGGGAAAGGAAGGAAGTAATCTAATTTTATCAGGGGTCTTTGTCTTCAAGGAACTTTGTTTTATCATTTAATACACCTGATTTATCTCTTCTTTGATATTTTTGAATAATGTAATCTCAGCTAAAAAAACAGATTAAAAATATACTTTTATCATAGGCTAAATATTCTACACTTTTTAGAGTGATTCTCCCCCCCCCATATCTTATGTTCCTTTTTTCCTTAAAGTAAATACTGATATAGCTCTTGGAGGTTTAGAGTGACAGTGTGGAGATTCTTAGTGAGTAGATGTATTTTGGCCCAATAGTTAATCCAAAATGGATTTGAGGTAATTAAATTTTAAAAATCTGTGTGTCATAATACATTGACTTGACAAAGCAGTATAAACCTTCTTTGTTTCTTCTGTTTTTTTTTTGTTTTGTTTTGTTTTTGGTGAGCAGAGGCCTTATATATTAAATAATTACCTTCCTCTAGAGGATGACCTTGATTATTTGAATTAGTATGCAAATTTATTTGGGTACTGTTTATAAGTAAATATAATGTTTTAATGTTAAAGCCTAGATGAGATACTTCTAGATGCTTATTAAATATGACTAGGGTTATCTGTTCAAATGACTTGGAACAGGTGTTGGGGAGAATTTGGAGCAACTGAACCCTTGTACTTTGTTGGTGGGACAGCAAAAATGGTGCAGCATTTTGGAAAACTGGCAGTTTCTTTTAAAGTTTAATTTGTACATACCACAAGACAAAGCAGTCCTACTTTTGGGTATTTACCTCTGTATGAGAAATGAAAACATTTGCTTGCACAAAAACCTTAATCGAATGTTTAAAGCAGTTTTTCTCATATCTGTTATGAACTGGAAACAACCCGAGTGTCCCTTGGTTTTCAGTAAGTAAGCAGAGTTTGGTGTAACTGTATAATGGCATATTCTTTAGCAGCAACAGGAGCAAACCACTGACCCTCACAGTAACGTGTTTGTGTGCCATCTTGCCCATGTGGGGTCCAGAGGACCATGTGGACTATGATCCCTTCTATATCATGTGGTAGGGCGGACAGGACTGTGGGGCAAGGAACAGCTGAGCAGTTTTCAGGGTGGGTGTAGTTGACAAGAAGGGGCAGAAGGAGCGTTCTGTTGTGGTGCAGATATTCCATATTGTGAGTCAGATTGGCGCTGTGGTTGTATAACATCTGTTCAAACTTTTAGCGTTGCACACCTGAAATGGATGAATTTCCTACCTTATGATTTTTCCTAATTATATTTCAGTGGTTTAAAAAAATAACCGTTTCTTGTTTTTTTATGCAGAGTGTTGCACTCTACATCCTTGGTGATGAGAGCTCTGTTTCTGAGGAGGCCTCCCAGTATTTATCCAAAATAACTTTAGGTGAGTTGGTATAATAACAGGCCTATGAAAATAAATTTTATAAAAGTGAATATTGGAATTGAAATAAAATGTTCATAAGCGTTTGCTTTAGAGGCTGTCTTGCCTCTGGTACTTTTCTAGTTTATATTCCATAAGTGATTTTTCAGATACCAGAATTACTTAGAATCTTTTATTTTCAGTGTGTCTAAAAAGGACTATGTTAGCCTCAAGGAAGACATTAAACTTTGGCTTTGCCATAGTACTGTGCGTTTTATTATTTTATGAGTGGTTTGTTTGTGAATTCTCATTTCCAGAATGATTATCAAAATAAAATTTTATTTTATTGTCTTTTAGCTCCCCAAAAGTCACAAGTGGACCAAGAAGAAAACAGGTCTTTTATTCTGTTTGAACTTTTGTGTTTAAATTTAAAACAGTATTGTTTTACTGTTCTATTTAATAACTTTGCTTTTTCTTTTCCTACAGTTTTAGTTTCCGTCATGCTACATCAGTTTCTAGCTTAGCTGAAAAGTTAGTTGTCTGGATGACAAGTGTAGGTAAGAACCCCTCTGTTACCCCCCTGACTGGTCCTACATCCCCCAAGCCTTCTGGGACTGGGGCAGGAGGGAGGGGCTCTGGCTTTAGGGCAGGACTTGGATTGTGATTTTGCTTCTCCAGGCCTGCTTCCTTTGCTGGTGATTTCACCATCTCTGCGTCAGAATAACTGGGGGACCTGCTTTTTATCCTCAGCACCTTGAAGTCCTCATTATTCACTGTGGGCCAGTTGAGGCTCTATCTGTGGAAATATTAACCACTGTTCGTTCAAACTTGAAGCCTTGTGATACTCTGGTATCAGAAATAGGTATTTCTGGCAACTGAAATTAATTGCATAAATGGTACAAGAAGAATGCTTTTGAAGGCTGAAAGCTGAAGATTTTAGGCACCATGATACATTCTCTGGAAAAGAGGAAAGAGTTCTGTATTTTCTGTTCCCCAAACCTGTGTTTCTAGGTTTTAAATTAACTAAAATATTAAAGAAGTGTTTTCAGAAACAGTTGGAAAAAACAAAATTAATAATTGCTGATATGAGTATATAATTAAAAATATATGAGGGTGTTTATATAGAGTTCTGTGTTAAAAAATAGTGCTTTAGTGAATATTTCAGATGTTTCTGAAATCTTTTTATTTTTTTGGTTGTGCTGGAGATTGAATCCAGGGCCTTGTCTAAGCAAGGAAAGGACTCTTAAAACTAAGCTGTAGTCCTAGCCTGATGTTTCTGAATTCATATCTGAACTATATTCTAAATGAAGTTTTCTGTTTTTGTTTTTTTTCCCGATACTGGAGGTTGGACACAGGGCCATCTTTCCTGGTTGTTTTTTATATGCCATTTTGAAAATGAAAATAATTGTTTTAGACTTTACATACTTACGCCAGAAAATATTGACTGAGTTCTGTCTGTATCATCTAATGTTTAGTGAAAGTGTTATTCTCAAATAAGGAAACATTTTTCATTTCAATAATTGATCAACTTTCTAAACCTTGAATAATGCATAGCTTTATAAAATTTAGAAACTCACTATGGGAAAAGAAGTTTGCATTAGTCTGAGGATTCAAAAAATTAAATATGAAGTATGTTATAAAAGAGAGTGAAATATGTATATTTAGTTTAGAGAATTAACCTGAAAGCAAGTATTGCTATCCTTATCATGAAGCTTTGATGGGAGGGAACACTGACGTGGAGTTGAGGGTCCTGCTCTCTGCTGCTGGGTGGAACCCTCCACACCTCACTACCCACCTACCTATCTGCTATCTTCCCCTGCTTTTCTTCATAGTTCTGTAGTTTTTTGCGGGGGCTGGTGGGCCCTGGGGATTGAACTCGGGCACTTGACCATTGAGCCACATCTCCAGCCCTATTTTGTATTTTATTTAGAGACAGGGTCTCACTGAGTTGCTTAGCACCATGCTTTTGCTGAGGCTGGCTTTGAACTCGAAATTCTCCTGCCTCAGCTTCCCGAGCTGCTGGGATTACAGGCTCGTGCCACCATGCCTGGCTTTTGCATTTTTATGTGTTGCTTTGTATGGTATGTTATTGAACCTTATGTAAATAAATATTCACCCATGCTAACTCCTGTAGCAGTGCCTGAAGTCATTCTATGGCGACAGACAGTAGAACTTGGCCCTTCCCCCATCCCTTTTTTACCATAGTGACACAATGTTGGTGTTGAGTATTTTTATACTTGTGTGTGGGTGCACAAGTCCTCTGTATTCTGTCTGGCTGTTGGTGGCCTAAACCAGGTGCACCTCACTAAGTTACTGGTTGTAACAGTTGATACCACATGGGCTGCAGGTGAGAATTCCTGGTGCTCTGTGTGCTCACTGGCACTTAGTATGGATTGACTTCAGGATTGTCAAGGGAGAGTGAGATCATATTTGCCAGTGGTTTCAACTGCATTACCCTGACCACTCTGTCGGCAGAGTGTCTTTTTTCATGTGTATCAACCATTTGTGGGAAATGGCTTTGGTCCTTTGTGGTTTTCCTATTGGATTGTCTGTGTTTTTCCTCAGGCTTTTAGGCTTTGTCTTTGATATCAAGTCAAGCCATTAGTGTAGTAGTAAGATGAATAAAATGAATTTCTTTTCTTCCTGTCAGGATAGAAGTGTATTATCCAGTCAGAGGATAAGTGGCAATTGGGAAAGTAGCAGTTCTGAATCACCACTGTCCCTTGTTCTCCCTTACTTTCACCACAGGATTCACTGAGAGAGATTTGGAAACTCTTCCTTTTGGAGTTGCTCTTCCCATCAGAGACGCAATTTATCACTGTCGTGAGCAGCCAGCATCAGACTGGCCAGAAGCTGTCTGTCTCTTGATTGGACGCCAGGATCTTTCCAAGCAGGCTTGTGAAGGAAACCTACCCAGAGGGAAATCTGTGAGTGGTAACATAGGGCAGTCAAAGTTCAGTTTTAGATTAAAAGAAAATCAAAGTAGAAATGTTTTTTAAATTTTTTTTATATGTATATTTTTTGGCTGCAAATATACTTTTAATTTGTCTTTTACATGCCAGGTGGGGTTTATTATTAAATACATCTTATTGTCAATTGGGTACTGGAGCAGGAGATTTTGTGGCTGTTCTGTCTTGCCTAGACCTTTTTACTTGAGTCAGGACAGGCACTGAATCAGTAGATGATCACCATGACTGTTTCCCTGTTTGTACCCAAATTAGTCATTAGCCACTTCATGATTATTGTATAGGAAAAACGAGAACACGTGTATCCTGAACTTGGTTACTATATCACTTTTGTTTCTCATAGTTTCTGATGTGTTGAATGTCCTTTTAAAGTAGGTATAAATAGATCTTTTAAATTACATAAAACTGAAGCCCCAGGAAAAGATTTTTTTTCTTTACTAGAGTTGAGAAGATGTCTTAAGTTACCCCTCATGAAATATTGCCCTTCAGTCTTTATCTGCTTAAGAGTAGGTCCTAAGAAGCCTAGAAATGAAATATTTCTTTATATCCAATTATCTTTTATAATCAGCTTCTCTTAGAAATGCAACTTGTAGGTAGCTGTGGTTGTCAGCCATTCATTAATTATATCAAAATAGCTAGTAGGGAGGGTTTTGAATGTTCTTAACACAAAGGAATGATCATGATAGAAATCTAGCTACTCTGATCATGCCACAGTGTGTACATGTATTGAAATGTTACATTAAACCCCTAAAATATGAAAAATTATATATCAATTTAAAAATTTACAAGTTTTGTGAGCTGTAGCCATGGCAGAACACTATTAGCATGTATGAGATCCTAGGTTTGATCCCTAGTACCATAATAAATAATTAAGAAATGTATGAAACTTCTAGAACTCTAGTTAACTTTTCAAAAAATATTTTTTTAGTTGTAGTTGGACACATTACCTTTATTTTAATGTGGTGCTAAGGATTGAACCCAGGGCCTTGCACATGCTAGGCAAGCACTCTAGTGCTGAGCTACAACCCAAGTCCCTCTAGTTAACTTTTAAAAATAAATAGTACCTCATCAAGGAAGATTCAGGAATGAATCCTCTCCTGGTGACTCATGTCCCTGAGGAAACAGTGGGGATTTGGCTCATCTCTTAGTAGTGCTGGAATTGTCACATAGAAATTAGTCCATTAGGGGGGCTGGGGATGTGGCTCAAGCGGTAGCGCGCTCGCCTGGCATGCGTGTGCGGCCCGGGTTCGATCCTCAGCACCACATACCAACAAAGATGTTGTGTCCGCCGAGAACTAAAAAATAAATATTAAAAATTCTCTCTCTCTCTCTCTCTCTCCTCTCTCTCTCTCTCTTATAAAAAAAAAAAAAAAAAAAAAAAAAAGAAATTAGTCCATTAGGTCTTGGGCCCTTAATGAGTCTTCAGCGCCTGCGTGAAAACTTACTCCCAGCCCCAGAGTTGCCTCAGTCCCGTGCCAGAATGTTTCCTTGGGGATCCCATCTTCAGCAGGGTGCAATACATCTCTTTAAATGTGTACCAAAATATCTGCTCTTAACAAGAAACAAATTTTATTAACAATATGTTCTTTCCCTGACCAAAAATCGTCTTCAGTATTTTTTTGTTATAAGAGGGAGTATTTCATCACCATTAACAATTACTTAAATGTCATCATATGAAATCTTACCCAAATTCAATTTGTTCAGTTATTCCAAGGTACATTTTGTAACATGAGCTATCTGGGCTTGTATTTTCTGGGTAACTCTCACTCCTGACGTACTGTCATGTGTCACCCAACAATGAATGTGTTCTGAGAGATGTGTCACTAGGCAGTTCTGTTGTAAAACACCTTGGTACTCATGGCCAGTGCCAGTGTTCTTTTAAGGGATCACTGTCTGTTTGTGATCTGTTGTGAAGGAGCTGTGCTTATGCAGGGCTTGACTATGGCTTCCTTGAAAATTAAATCCCCCTAGAGCAACCACGGTGAATTGGTATGAACTAACAGTGATAATCTGCTCATATTGGTTATTTTTTTTCATGCTAACGTTGTTGCTTCCACATTAAGTGTAGCAAAAGTTTAATAACATTTTCAAGTGAGATTTAATTTTTTGCTAAAGGCTTATAAAACTCTTCTTGGAAGCAAGTGGAAGAATCCCATGTGAATGCGTCTTGGTTGTAGTCAGACTGAGTTACATGAACCGGAGTGCCCTTAAAGCCCCCAGCAAGATTCTGAGGACAGGGTGGCAGTCAGTCCCTTTCTTCTTCTTCTTTTTTTTTTTTTTTTTTAAGTTGTAGATGAACATCATTCGTTCGTTCGTTCGTTCCTTCCTTCCTATGCTGAGAATTGAACCTAGTGCCTCACACATGCTAGGAAGCACTTTGCCACTGAGCCACAACCACAGCCCTCTTTTTAGGAAATTTTTATTTATTTATTTTATGTGTTTATTTTTTAGCTTTTTTTAGGTGGACACTATATCTTTATTTTGGTTTTTTTTGATGTGGTGCTGAGAATCAAACCCACTGCCTTACGCATGCTAGGTGAGTGTGCTTGAGCCACATCCCCAGCCTCTATTTTTTAATTTTTTAAAAAAATATTTATTTCTTAATTGGACACAATATCTTTCATTTATTTATTTTTATGTGGTGCATGTACTAGGTGAGCACTCTGCCGCTGAGCCACAACCCCAACCCCGAAATTTTCTTTTTTAACCTCTTAAAAAAGTCTTTCATTTATACTTAAGAGGAAAAAAGTGAAAACTGACCATTCTATAAAGGCACTGATCAGCAGACAGAATTTAAGGTAGTAGGCGTGCAGTGAGCAAAAGTGGGCTCAGAGTCCACTGGGAATAGTTTCCTTTTTAAAATGGTTAGGGTATAGATTTTTACAGTTTATTTAGAATTTTTCTGACTAACTTAAATTTTAAAAATTTCCCTCAGTTCAATAAAGAATGTTACCAAGTAGAGAATCGTGAATGCAAAGCCAGCCTCAACAAAAGTGAGGTGCTAAGCAGTTCAGTGAGACCCTGTCTCTAAATAAAATACAAAAAAGGTCTGGGGATGTGGTTCAGTAGTTAAGTGCCCCTGAGTTCAATCCCTGGTAAACACCCCCATGCCTCCATCCCCGCCAAAAGAAAAAAAAAAAAAGAATGTTTCCAAGTAGGCACTATAGTGCTTTTAAAAAAGATCTGAAGGAGCTGGGCATGCTGGTGGCTGGTATGGTTCCACTAACTTGGGAAGCTGAGGCAGGAGGATCACTTGAGCCTAGGAGTTCAGGCCAACCTGGGCAACATGATGTGTAGCCAGGGTCCCAGTGTACCCTGAGAACCCACAGTCCTGCTTTGGAAAACTTGTTTACAAACTGTGCTGGTGTAGTCATGGTGTATTAGCCGTGTGTCCTCACGTTCAGTAATTACCTGTTGCTCTTTGTTAAATTATTATTATAATGAAGTCTGTCACCCAGGTGCTCTCATCAGATGTTCCTTCAGGAACAGAAGCTGAGGAGGAGGATGATGGCATGAATGACATGAACCACGAGGTCATGTCTTTGGTGTGGAGTGAGGACTTGCGGGTGCAGGATGTGCGCAGGCTGCTGCAGAGCGCGCACCCCGTTCGTGTCAACGTGGTGCAGTACCCGGAGCTCAGCGACCACGAGTTCATTGAAGAGAAGGAAAACAGGTAATGGAGCACATCCATTGTCTCTGGCCAAGTGTTTTGTTAGATCTGAGACTCTGTTTTCTCTTCACATTTTTAGCATTTGAGGCTCTAAACAGATTTTAAAAGTCATAATGAAGTTAAAACCTAACCACATTTTTTTTTCTCTTTTTTTCTTTAGTGGCACTGCTGGGGATTGAACCCAGGGCCTTGTGCATGTGAGGCAAGCACTCTACCAACTGAGCTACATCTCCAGCTCTCTTAATCACGAATTTTAATTTTTCATCCAGCCTCAGTAAAGCATACATGTTTTCAGAATACCTGTGGCAGTTGAGGGCATAGTTAGATCCTCCTCCTCTCGAAGTACAGCAGTGTACTGTTTAGAAAACGTGAATCTAAAACTATTTTGCTGGTAGTCACCTTCAGAATTGTAAACAGCAAAACACTGCACTCATTCTTCTGTGTCTTAATCAGGAATAGATTTTGAGTGTTTTTCTTTTAAACTTAAATGATTTTTTTTAAAGTGTGACAGGTAATACTCTACAACCATTTGGTTGGATACACTATAACATGCTATAGCCCTTTATAAATTGTTAGACTCAGTAATAACCGGTGTCATGCCTGTGACCTTCCAGAGCCATTGCCCTTGGATACTTGAACTTAATTTTTAAGTCTTTATTCTTTTTTATGCCTGTCTCTCCTGTCTGTCATTCCTCTGCCACTGTTTTCTAGTTTTTACTTTTTCTAAAGGCTCTGCTTTAGGGGGAGGAGGCCACCTGTACGTAGCATAGGCTACAGAGGCTCTGAGCCATAATTTCCATATGCAGCTAGGCACTAGTCACCTATAATGAGCAGCCTGAGGGTTGGACAAGTTGAGTGTGGTGCCTAGGAGTAAGGAGCGTGGGCTCCAGAGCCAGGGGGGCCACTCTCTGCTGGGTGACTTTGGATGAATTACTGAAGCAAAGCTACCTCTGTTGCTCCCCGTGTGCACATGTCTCCCCTCTGCACCTAGTGTGATATATATATATATATCTTTAAAAATTTTTTTAGTTATAGATGGACACAGTATCTTTACTTTGTTTATTTATTTTTATGTGGTGCTGAGGATTGAACCCTGAGATTCACATGGGAGAGGCAGGTGCTCTGCCACGGAGTCACAGCCCCGGACGTAGTCGGTATTTGTATAGTACCTGGAGTCCTGCCTCACACACAGCGAAGCTCCGTACTGCGGGCCAGTGTCACTATCAGTGCATTGCTTCTTAGATGCTCATTTTTTTTTTTTTTTTTTTAAATTGTTACTATCTCTGAAATGAGAATGCATCTTTTAGTCAATAGATGTCAGTTCACTTGGTAGCATTTTTCTTCCTTGGTACTTTGTGAGCTCATGAAGCATTTAATTAGTGGCATCTTATATTCAAGAGATACAGTATTCTTGTTATTGCTGTTATAATTTTGGGACTTTTGCAAGGCTGAATTGGATTATGTATAAGATTTCCACTAAGGGGCTAGGTTGTGGCTCAGTGGTGGAGCGCTTGCTTAGCAAGTGTGAGGCACTGGGTTCAATTTTCAACACCACATAAAAATAAATAAATAAAAATATTGTGTCTATCTACAGTTAGAAAATTTTAAAAAGTAAAAAATTTCCTCTAAAAAATTCTATGGGAAGCAGCCTCTTGGCCTTTCCTCTCCATTGAACTAAAAAAGGAATTATATATGCGTATAATTACGAGGGGAGAGTGCTTATGGATAGCTTCATCTGCAGAGAGAATGTGCGCCCATTGGTTAGCTTCTGAAGGGATATTTCTGTGTTTTTAAATATAACTTTGAAAAGCATTTCTTAGTTACAAGTGCTACTTTCAAAATTTTGGTAATATTTTGTCTTATTTTAAGGGCTTATATGGAAAGGAATTCAACATAGAAACAAGTCAGAGTGCTGTGTTAATTTTGTAGGAGAGCCCACAGCAACTGTCTGACCCTGGGGCATGCCTGCTGAGTGGTGGTCTAGTGCCATCCTGCCTAGCCCACGGGAGTGAAACCTTGGGTCTGTGTCCCTAGGAGGCTTGGAATTCATTCACCTTTCTCTGTTTGTGTGTGTGTAAACCATGTGATGGATTGCTGGCCAAAGAAAGGGGGAAGGAACCTGCAGGTACTGAGGGCAGCCAGAAAGCCACACAGTGACAAAACCTAGAAAGTACCTTATTTATCAGTCAGAGTAGAACTTGACATTTCTTTTTTCTAAACACTCAGGGAGTATTGGCTTGGTTTGTAGGCAGCTGGGTTTCATTCAAAGCAAATATGAAACAAAAGAAAGGAAATGTATCTCCCCCTTAGAGTCCTTATTGGGAGCAGGAGTATTAGAATGAGATATTCCTGTTTGGGTTCTGGGTTTGCCTTGTGGTGACTTTATCTTACATATTGCCTTCTGTGGAAGTGCCTGCCTACTGGTGACATACTTGGCTTTTAAGTTTTTCATCTCTTGGTTTTTACTTTAATCATAGATTGCTCCAGTTGTGTCAGCGAACAATGGCCCTTCCGGTCGGGCGAGGAATGTTTACCTTGTTTTCATATCATCCTGTTCCAACAGAACCATTGCCTATTCCCAAGTTGAACCTGACTGGTATGTTATATTCAAAGGGGAAACACAAATGTGCTTCACTTTGTACTCCATGCTGTGTGTTTGTGTGTGTGTGCATACATGTATACACTACAAATAACACACTATTTAAAATTTATTTTGCATGCATTTTTAGAAATGTTTTAAAACCATGTTTTCAAAGTGCTAATGAACCTGACAATTGCAATAATTAGAATATATATCTTAAATATCCATCAATAACTTGAGCTAATATAGAACATTCAAAACATAAAAAGAATTCAGTATTTGTACATGATATAGACCAAAAACAAAGGAATCAATAAACAAATTCAGACTAAACATGGAGATTCCCAAATGTTTAATTTGTATTGCTTTTAAATATATTGAACATAAAATTATATTTAGTGAATGCTTCTTTGTAGTTGATTGGGTAACTCATATCTGTCAACAGATGCTTTTTATATAGCTTTTACAACTTGGCATTTTTTAACAATAGCATATGATTAGATATCTGTCTACACACAGAGAGGGATTGGCACATACAAGAGCAAGCAGATTTATAAAGTTCATCTCTTCTTAAAATCTAATTTTTCCTTAATGTCCAAAGAAAAATGTGGGATGAAATGTTTGAAATTAACCTCAGTATCATCGGTCACCTTTTGAGATTTGTTATTCATGTAGTTAAACTGTGATGTGAATCTTTAGTGAATCTTTATTTTAATTTCCAGTTAAGCTTCCTATAATTTGAAAGATTTCAAAGCAGTGCATATCCTAATCAGATCCATGTAAAGTTAAATCAGTACCATTATTATCAACCCCTTGCATTGTAGCCAGACAGTCAATGAGCAGTTATTATTTTTTCCACCTGGCACAAAGTTTGACTCTCAGTTTAAGTGCCCATACAGCCTGATATCCTTCCAGGTGTTATGGGGCTAATGTAAGGTTTCAAAAGCAATGAAAGCAATCTTATTTTCAAAGATCTAAATTTAATAAGTTTGTTTTGGAATTTTTATTCTTTCAATGTAAACTCCCCTTTGGCTGGACAGGGAGAGCTCCCCCTCGAAACACAACAGTGGACCTCAACAGTGGGAACATTGATGTGCCCCCCAACATGACAAGCTGGGCCAGCTTCCACAACGGTGTCGCTGCTGGCCTGAAGATAGCTCCAGCCTCCCAGATTGACTCCGCATGGATTGTTTACAACAAGCCCAAGCATGCTGAGTTAGCCAATGAGTATGCTGGATTCCTCATGGCACTGGGTCTGAATGGGCATCTTACCAAGCTGGCCACTCTCAACATCCATGACTACTTGACAAAGGTGAGACTCGAGCTCCAGGTCTTGTGCTGCACCTTGTCTGCCTGCTGCGTCAGCCCCTCCTTGCTCTGCTGGCCTTTCCTTCCTGTCCCCCCTAGTCTCTTCATCTCCTATAGGCAGGATCATCTTTCTAAAGTGTGATGGCCAGTGTGGGCCACTCCCCTGCCAGAACCATCCAGCCATCTTCCACTGCCCTTGATGTGCTGCCGGGAGCCTGTTTGATGCTCCCTGCTTCTCCAGTCACATTCACATCATCTTCCATTGCTCCTCCTCAACTTGAGTGCCCCCTTCCTGCCTCTTTTTTGGGTAATTTGTGCTCATCCTTCAAGTCCTGTTTATGTCAGTTTCTGGTGATGGCGTTGTGGTGGGTACTGGGATTGAACTCAGGGGCACTTGGCCATTGAGCCACATCTCCAGCCCTATTTTGTATTTTATTTAAAGACAGGGTTGCTTAGTGCCTCACATTTGCTGGGGCTGGCTTTGAACTCTGATTGTCCTATCTCAGCCTCCCCAGCTGCTGGGACTATAGGGGTGCGCCACCAAAGCTAGCCAGCTGTGTCATCTTTAGAGATTACTTTCCTGATAATCCTCTAGCTCCTCTAATCTTAAATGGGTTCCATTGTAAATACTCTTTTATGATACTTGGTATTTCTTAATTTTTTTATACTAATTAAAATATTTATTTTTAAATTGTACACAATACTTTTATTTTGTTTGTTTTTATGTGGTGCTGAGGATCGAACCCAGGACCTCACATGTGCTAGGCAAGCGCTCTACCGCTGAGCCACAACCCCAGCCCACTAATTTTTTTCTTATTCTCCTGTTTTCTCTCTCCTTCTCTTCCCTACCTTTCGGTTTTTGTGGTGCTAAGGATCACACCCAGAGCCTGTGCATGTTAGTGCTCTACCACTGAACTACACCCCAACCCTTTTATTACTTTTTTTTGGTACCAGAGATTGAACCCAGGGGCACTTTACCACTGAGTCTCATCCCCAGCCCATTTTATATTTATTTTTTCTTTTGAGACAGGGTCTTGCTGATTTGCTTAGGGCATTGTTAAGTTGCTGAGGCTGGCCTAGAACTTGCAGTCCTTCTGCCTTAGACTCCTGCTGGGATTATAGGCCTATGCCACCATGCCCAGCTTTTTCTTTTTTTTTTTTTTTAAGTCGTAGATTGACACAATACCTATTTCATTTACCTGTTTTTATGTGGTGCTGAGGATAGAACCCAGTGCCCCACACATGCCAGGCAAGTGCTCTTGAGTCACAACTGCAGCCACAACTGAGCCCTGTAATTATTTTTTAATAATGGACTAATTTGTGTATTTTTAGTTTAACACTTTTTTCCTTATTGTACACTAGCTATAAGAGAGCAAAGTCCATGTTTACCACTATATTCTTGGTGTCTATCATTGCCTGTCTCATGAAAGTTTTTACTGGAAGTGGCAGGTAGTATTTCATTAAAAAATACATATTTGTTTGGGTAGTGAGGCTTAAGTTTACTCTCCTTCCATCTTAGGGCCATGAAATGACGAGCATTGGACTGCTACTTGGTGTTTCTGCAGCAAAACTGGGCACCATGGATATGTCAATCACTCGGCTTCTTAGCATTCACATTCCTGCTCTCTTACCGCCAACATCCACAGAGCTTGATGTTCCTCACAATGTCCAGGTGGCTGCAGTGGTGGGCATTGGCCTCGTATATCAAGGGACAGCTCATAGACACACTGCTGAGGTCCTCTTGGCTGAAATAGGTATGGGGTTAATAGTGTTGAAAGACATTATTGTCATAGGTAAATGTGTCCCACTCCATATGATCCCAGGTTAAGTCATAGTAAAATTACAAAAATTAAGGAAAAACAGTAGTAGCTTTTATGAGCACAGAGTAACTAACAAGCTACAAGTAATGGTTTCTAAGGCTTGTGTTACTGTGCAGATAATTAGATAGGTACTTATTTGGCAGCCCTGTAACAGAATTCCAAAATGAGGTACCTCTGGTCTTAATCACATGTGAGCATGTGATTTTATCCACTGTGTCTTTTCCAGGCAGTGTCTGGCAGTGGCCCACTTAAAACTCAAGAGTTGATTGTTTGGGCCCCTGGTGTCACTTTGTTTCTTCTGCTGGGCAGTAGCACTTGCAGCGGAGTGGAAGATGGAACCTGCACATGTCAATATGCTTTAAATCATCTCTTCTGATGAAGCCCAGAGCGGTGTAACTGCTGTATAAGTACTTGTTACACATGTTACTCAGGGAATGATGACCGGAAAAGGATGGGCATGATCAGTAAGAGGGAACCAAAGAATGCAAGCACGCTTCAGTAGTGTGTCCATGGTGCCTGCTGGGGTTCCAGACCAAAGCCGGCCTCCATGTCCACTGGAGGCTGTTTCAGAGGATAAACATGGTAGGGCAGTGCAGATTGGGGCTGATAATGGGGTCTACTGTAATGATGAAAGAAATTATTCACAAAACTGGGATGTTCCTGTTACCAAAATATAACTTAAGTTGTTGATGTGAAAAATGCTTACTCAGGAGTTATCCAACACTGGTATTCATCTTCACGGTAACTCAACATACTGTAGCTGTCTCATAGTGATAACTGATGCTGTCATTGCATGGTCTCACCGCCGAGCATACCTCTCTTACATTGTATGAGAAGATTTGATTTTTTTTTTTAAAGAGAAAGAGAATTTTTTTTTTTTTAAAGAGAGAGTGAGAGAGGAGAGAGAGAGAGAATTTTTTTTAAAATATTTATTTCTTAGTTCTCGGCGGACACAACATCTTTGTTGGTATGTGGTGCTGAAGATCGAACCCGGGCCGCAGGCATGCAAGAGGAGCGCACTACCGCCTGAGCCACATTCCCAGCCCCGGGAGAGAGAATTTTAATATTTTTTTTTTAGTTATCAGCGGACACTTAGTATTTAGTTATCAGCGGACACTTTGTATGTGGTGCTGAGGATCGAACCCGGGCCGCACGCATGCCAGGCAAGCGCGCTACCGCCTGAGCCACATCCTCAGCCCCAAGAAGATTTGATTTTGATGTGCTCTTTTATACATTGCCATCAGAATTGCTTTTTGAAAATAGATCAATCATAAAGTTTTTTTAAAAAAAAATTTTATTAGTTGTTGATGGGCCTTTATTTATATGTGGTACTGAGAATCAAATCCAGTGCCTCATACATGCTAGGCAAGTGTACTACCATTGAGCTACAATCCCAGCCCCATCATAAATGGTTTTTAAAATTAATTTATATTGTATAACATCTCCTTGAGTCGATGTCTTGTAAAATGCCTGATCATTTCTGTCTTCAGGACTTTTTAGGTTGTTTGATTCTTTGCTACTTACGTGTAGGTACCTTTATATAATTTTTTTTAAGAGAGAGAGAGAATTTTTTAATATTTTTTTTTTGTTAGTTTTCGGTGGACACAACATCTTTATTTTTTTATTTTTATGTGGTGCTGAGGATCGAACCCAGCGCCCTGCGCATGCCAGGTGAGCGCACTACCGCTTGAGCTACATCCCCAGCCCAATAATTTTTTTTTCTTTTTAATTGCATTTTCCCCCCAGGGGATGAAATCCTAGGCATGTGAACTCTTTTTGGAGGGAGTGCTCTTTATACATAATACATTTTGTTTTCTTAAAGGGTAGAGTTAGAATTATGGAGTGCATTTTTAAAGTGTGAATTTTATATTCAACCTAACTTTTAGGATCAATACATAGAAATTTTACCATAGTAGGGATCAGTCTTATGTAGATTTAAAATAAGTGAGAATGTATCCAGAGAAAGTGTAGACGCTGTTTGTGATGCTGTCACAACTTTCTCAAGGAGTCATACTGAGCCCGTTTCTCTTAGGCAACTTGAAAGTCAACTCTACAAAATTTGTGTGAGTTGGAGTCTTAGGAGGCTGGCTTGAACTGGTTGCTCTCTTCCTGCAGGACGGCCCCCTGGTCCCGAGATGGAGTACTGCACTGACCGAGAGTCATACTCTCTAGCTGCTGGCCTGGCCCTGGGCATGGTTTGCTTGGGGGTAAGCTGCACGTTCCCATGCTCCACTTGGGACATCTGCATGTCTAGAGGAATGACCTTGACTTTTAACTTGGATGCCACTCTGCCCTCCTGTGATTTAACCTGATTTCTCAGCCCTTCCTTCTGGAAATTTTTCAAAGTTTTGCAGATAGAGAGAAATTGTAATGAAGAGTGGGACCTGAATGTGTCTTCCCCCTGGCTTAGATAATAGGTATTCATGAGAGAACTAAGGGAAAGAAGTTTCTTGAAAAAAGTTCAAGACGTAAGGTGAAGAAGTGACAGCCCACTCTGATAGAAAACAAAATATATGATAGGAATCCTCAGAGTCGGCTGAAGTGCTAGCTAGAAATAAACCCTGACCCTCTCTTGCCATTGTGATGTTTACTTTTTATCCCAGAATGCTGCCACAATAGCATTTGCTTTGTGACACTTTCAATGTCTGGTTGGCCCATCTTTAATTTCATATAAGGGATGTGTACCAAATGACGGCAGACATTTCCTCAAGTGATTGTTCCACTTGGAATGTAGTTCCCCTGAAGAACCACTAGTTCAGTGTATGGTCACACTATATGGCATAAAGAAAGTTTTTTCTTATATGCAGTCAAAAAATTCACCATGTGTTTGACCATCTGTTGGAGTTTTGACTTAGCATTTGAGCTGAAGAGGCAGGGTACAGTGGCAAAGCATCATATTGGGTATGGGGCCTGAATTCAGATCCTGACACTATAGTGAGTTAGGTCAGTTGACTCCATTGTTTTCTATGGACAGTTACCTCTGTGGACTGTCGAGCAGAACTGCCTTGTTGTACATCTAAACCTGCATGTATAGCTAGGTGACCTTGGGCTTAATCCCTCTTTACCTCACTTTCCTCTTCCTTAAAATGGAACTCTTAGTAGTAGCTCTTGGCTAGGGTGTTTGAGTTAAGTGAGTTAATTCATGTTAAACATGCACAGAAAGGAACCTGGCAACCAGCAAGTAGCAATAAGTTACTGATAACCGTTGCTGGAAAATTTTACAGGCACAGTGATTCACACTCCAGGTTTCAGTTACACAGCTTATCTTTTCCTTTACTGTAAGGTCACTGACTGTTTTGAAGCTTTTATGTATTTTTACAAAATCAAAGTAGTTAAACTTGAACACATATATTTTATAGTTTTTATGAGAATAGTTTCAATATTATCTCATAAGGAATGTTTATTTTAATTGGAAAGAAAGCAAATCAAAATACACTGATTTGAAGTTAGTTCAGTGTTTCACCTGTTGTGGGTACGGGTTATGGATGTTATGGATTTTCTTCTGTAAGATTTCTCTTCATGCCTCTTGTTTTGTTTTCTAGCATGGCAGCAATCTGATAGGCATGTCTGATCTCAATGTGCCTGAGCAGCTGTATCAGTACATGGTTGGAGGTCATAGGCGCTTTCAAGCAGGAGTGCACAGGGAGAAACATAAATCTCCAAGCTACCAGATTAAAGTAAGTCCAAATAAACTAACAGAACCTAAGAAGTTAATTTGATAACAGTTGTTCTCATACCAACAGTTGTAGATATGCTACTTTGAGGTGTTGACTAGCATTCAGAAACATAGTTCAAAGTCTTTTTTTTTTTTTTTTAAAGAGAGAGGAGAGGGGGGCGGAGAGAGAGAGAGAGAGAGAGAGAGAGAGAGAGAGAGAGAGAGAGAGAGAGGGAGAATTTATTTATTTATTTTAGTTTTTTTTGGTGGACACAACATCTCTGTTTGTATGTGGTGCTGAGGATTGAACCCAGGCCGCACGCATGCCAGGCGAGCGCGCTACCGCTTGAGCCACATCCCCAGCCCATAGTTCAAAGTCTTAACGTCAGTGACTTCTCTTTCAACAGGAAGGAGATACCATAAATGTGGATGTGACCTGTCCAGGTGCTACTCTAGCTTTGGCTATGATCTACTTAAAAACCAATAACAGGTATTTGTGTCCTTGCTCAATCTTGCCATGACAGCCTATCTTCCTTTCTGACCTCAGTAATAAATTATCTTACATATTAATTTTCTTTCTGCTAAAGGAACCTGATTTTCCTTCTCTTAAATTCTATAGGTTAGATTACTGTAAGTAATCAGAATTGGCAGTGTAAATTGCTGTTGTACTGAATTGTCTAGGGAATAATCACGAGAACAAAAAACTGTAAATGCTCAATGAAGATATAGGTTTTTTACTCCTGAATATTTTCAGTTGGATGCAGAACCCAAGGAAATAGAGGGCTGAATGTAACTGCCAATTTCTATTCTTTTCTGTTTCGTAGTTAATGTCACTGACAAACAGTGTCAAAGGTTCTTTTCGAACATCATTGTGAGGATTGGTTAAGCCAGAAATACTTAGTATTATTTTTTCCTGGTTAACCATTTTTAAAAATGATCTCCTTAGCTCTGAAGCTTTGCTGACTGCCAGACAGCCTGCCTTTCAGTCCCTGCTAGTTGCTGACACTTAAAAGTAGACCTTTGACATTTATTTTAACATTTGCATAGGAGAGTAATATAGTTGGGTAGGAGACACCTTATATGATGGTGTAAGTCTTTTCATTTAAAAAAAATAGAATAAGATGCATGAAAGTTTTCAGTGTTCAAAATTCCTCTCTTTAGAAGAGTAAGAGTGTGGAGAACTGACAGAGTGGTCAAAATTCTTGTTCATGTTCTGTTCAGGTGAATGTGTGTATCAGTGCCTTCTTGACCCTGGGAATACTTCAGTGAACAAAACAAAACTAAAAACCTCTGCCCTTGTGGAGCTTAGGTTGTTGGAAGGTGCAACACATACATAATAAATATTTGGTTAGAGAGTGGAAAGTATTATGGAAAAAAGATCACTGGAAGAGTGGGAAATAGCATTTTGAAGTTTCTTAGGATGCTTGATTCCTTTGCTCTCTATCTGACCATAACCCCACTGGGACCTCCACCAACAGATCCATCGCAGACTGGCTCCGAGCTCCTGATACTATGTATTTGCTCGACTTTGTGAAACCAGAATTTCTCTTACTTAGGGTATGTGCATTTTCATTTTTCATTTCTGTTGACATGAGGGGAGTTTACTTAGGCTTTTCAAATTTAGCTTTCAGATATAAATGCATTGACAAGAGAGCCTTTTACTTTTAATTCATCATGTATATCTGATTGGCAATGTTCTTTTGAAATATCCCAAATATAGCTTCAGGAATTGTAGGAAAGGCAACCACATTGATAATGCTTGATGTGACATTTCTCTTATTAATAGTAATAGAATTATTATTATTCAAAACTTCCTTAAAAAGCAGCAAGTAAGGGCTGGGGTTATGGCTCAGCAGTAGAGTGCTTGCTTGTCTCGCACATGCGAGACCCTGGGTTTGATCCTCAGCACCACATAAAAATAAATAAGTGAAATAAAGGTATTGTGTCCATCTACAACTAAAAAATAAATATTAAAAAAGCAGCAAGTAACTAGAACTTTTTTAGCTTTTGTATTTTATATATTTTTTTGAATTATTAAGAATGTAACAATATTGTTAAGGGTGTATGACAGTAAAAATTTTACAGTTGCCTAAAATTTTTGTCTTTTTTTTTTTAATGTTAAACTTACTCTGTGAAATCTTTTGAATTACGGTGTGTAGGCAGAGCTGTGATTCCTCTCTTGTGAGATTTTTCTTTTATACAACAATTTAAAAATCTTTTCTAACTCCTCTAAATATTGATGATGACTGGTACAATTTTAATTTTTCTTTAAGAGCTAAATATTTTAATGAGTAGCCTAACTTAATACTCTATGCTTATTTTTCAAAGTTGCCATCAACTAGAAATGATTCTTAAATATTATTACTGTTAAAAAAAATCTATAAACTTTGCCTGCTCTAATTAATTTTATCTGTTATGCATTTGTAAGACCCTTGCTCGATGCCTGATTTTGTGGGATGATATTTTACCAAATTCCAAGTGGGTCGACAGCAATGTTCCTCAAGTAAGTACTTCAATAAATAGTAAACCTTTAATAGCATAAAATTGGTATTTTCCAAAATCCTGTAGAATAATTTTTCTTGTGAAGGCAATATTGATTACTGGGATATCCAGTTAAGACAGAAGAACTTGCATTGTGAAAGTGTTTACTGACCACAGACCTTAGTTCCCTTTTGACCCTAGATACCTAAAAATTATGGTTTTTTTAAAAAAATCAAAATACTAGAAAAGAATTTTGAAATTTCAGTTCTAATCATACATTTATCTAAGATGATATTTTAATTGGTAAAAATTTTGGATCATTTATAGTTGTTTGAATTATTTCATAGCATGTTTATTAAATAAGCCAAGTATATTAGTTAAAAATAAAGAGGCCCCTTTGTAAAAACTTGGAATCAAATATTATAACTGTTTCCTTTAGTTCGCTATTCATTTCTTGTGGTTTCTCACTTCATTTGTATTTTAAAACAAATCTAATTATTCTAGATTGTCTGTTTCCCTCAATATTTTCATAAGAAAAATCTCAGAATAAAGAAATGTTGAAAAAACTTCATATGAACATCCATATTTGTCAGTAGATTAAACAATTAATAATTTATTCCGTTATCTAATCTGTCACTTTTGTATGAATTTCAAAGTTGCAGTAATGAACTTT